CATTTCCACTTTATTATCGCTTTCTGGCCCACGTATGATAACGTCCTAGTGCTCAAAACAGTACACCTCACTGACTCTCATGTGTATTTACTTGGAGTTAATTCCTATTTCGTTCAACAGATATACTCATAAGTAAAGATGTTCAAGATTCCCATCCTACTCAGCTACAAGCTGGGTGACATGGCAGAATCTGAAACACTAAAAAAAAACTGTGCCTCTTCCTCCTCCTTCTAAAAGCATGGTCCAAGGTGCAGGAATAATATCTTGTCAGCATTTTGTTGTTCTTGCTACTTTAACAGGCAGTTATTCTTTGATGAACAGGGCAGCAGTTCATGAACAACGGACTTTAGCGTCTTTTATGGCAGAACTTTACCAACAACTGTGTCATTTAACAGCCAGGATACATTTGTCAATGAACTTGAATGATAATTGTAACTATTGTTAGAACAGATTATTTTTCTTTTACTTGTACTACCTTTCTTGTCCAAGCCACTTTATCATACAATTCTATTTATGTTTACCTGGTAAAAGTGGTGTCCCTCCCAATCATCACTCTAGCAACAGGGACTGGTGGAAGAGAAGTAGTAAGACCTTATAACATAATGTGCTCCATTGGTTGTGTGTTTCCCACCTATTTTCCCATAGAAGGCTCTCTGAAGTTGGTAATAAGACCTTGGATTGAAATGGGAGCTCATCTATGGACATACATGTGAAAGGATCCATAATATAGTGCAAGCAAAGCTATATAGGCAATCATGACTTGGCTCCCTCCCTCCCTTCCCAGTACCTCTTACTACGAACTTGAGAATCAGTACCCTTGGGTGATGTAGTGTTTCTAATGCTGCCAATCATATGACACTTTGCATCTGTTTCATCTCCCCCTCCTCAATGTTTTGTGGTAAGAAGTAGTGAGAAAACATGGGAGGGTCACAAATAGAAGATGCTATTATTTCTTCTCTACTCTAGGTAAAATTCCCTGAATAAAGCAGAATGACTACACAAGAAAAATCTTGTCTAGACATT